GTTTGCAGACCAACATCTTTGGGCAAGCTGGTTGGTTGATCCAAAGAGTTTAACATAAATACACGATCGGAGCCACATAAATCGGAAAAACTAGCTGTGGATAAGCGATGTTGAATGAGACCTTCTTTTGAAACCCATTGTTGTTCGAGTGTAAGCGTAAAAAGGGTATGACTTTTGGGGGTAACCTCTTCATATTGGGTCGCCGTTTGCTGTTTAGCCGTTAAACCCTGCTGTAACCAATGGAAAACATCGGTGATACTTTCACAATGCACATTGCCCACGCCCAAAAGATCTTGTATAACATCATCGATTATCTCAACCCAACCGATATTTACAGCATAGGTACGTTCTGTTTTAAATCGTAATATTATGAATAAGTAAAAGCACATTTTTTTAACTTACCTGGATGGTTTGCCATGTGCGCAAATATTTCTCGCACACACCGTTGCACAACGCCCTGTTCCGACTCACCGTATACACAATTCAAACCGGGGCCATAAAGTGTGTATGTTTTACCCGTACCTCGTTGACCATATGTTACCACCGATGCATCGAATCCCTCCATGAACAAGCTGATCAGCGGAAATACCGTTTGGTGGTAAATTTGACTCTGCGTGCAATCCAAGGGAAGAGCATGAGTCACTGGGAAGGAATGCGGTCCTACCTGCATTAGTCCGGCAGCTATGCCGTTGTCGAATTGTCCAGGCAGAGCTGTAGGTGCCGCATTTAGAAAAGCTGGCGCTGCCATAGGAATGGCTTGCACGCAGAAGTTCGAGGGTTCATTTGCATTTGGCTCGTTTGGCAAAACCGTTTCCACTTTTTCGTCGCCTACTTGTGTGCTAAAATTACCATTATCATCTTTTTGCGTTGTTAATTCCAAATCCACATCTGCCCCTAAATTCGATCTGGTATCTACAACATTGCCAGCTGATGGTAGTGGTGCTGATACTTTTGTTGCAGCCGGTGGTAAGCAGGGGTAGATTCTAACGGCTACTTGTATAGGAATTTCCATCATATTGGCGTCTGCTAAGTGTACACCAAATATGCCAACGGATTTTCAGGTTGTTAATGCATTGTTTTCACCAATTATTTTGCGTTTTTAAGTTAAATAACTTATTTTCTAGCAATTTTCACAAAGTCGCCTTTAGCACCGATTTTATGTTTTTCCAGTTTGCCTATACAGAGTTGCATAGAGTTGTCAAACTATCGATAGTGACACTATTCGATATTCTCGATAGTTTTAGTTCTCACTATCGATAGTACTATCGAAATTAAACCAACATTTTTTAAACGAAAAATCAAGTATTGCATTTAGGTATAAATTAGAACCTTCCAGAGTTGTTAGTGGATTTATTTAAAAAAAAAACTTAGTTTTATGTTTAAATTACACAGATACATACTTACAGACTGCGACAAAACGACATAAACGCGACATTTCCACCAGTATTCTTTGTTTGTTTATCGGGCATTAATTTGTTTAAATGAACAGGTCATTTTCGGTAGTAGCAGCAGAGCTGCAGTTTTGAAATTTTTCTATTTCGTGAAAAATCTAAACTATCAAACTTTGCTACATATACACATTCACATATACGTACATTAGCCAAGGATGATAGAATACCCCACCTTTGTTCGCTGCACCGTGTACATTAGCATGAACGAAAGACACAAGTTCACGCGGGAAGGAAAGAACGAAAAAAGTTATTTTCTAGCTCCTGAAATCTGGACGCCATCTTTGTTGTAGGAAGTAAACAACGAAGAGAACGGAGAAAACCGCACATGTTGAACGCATGAAAAATCATTTTTATTATGCAAGTTATTCTAAAAATCATGCCGTTGTGTTAAATTATTCTTTATCTTATGTGTACACACGTTGTCACAAGCGAAAATGAAGAAAATTGCAGTAAAAAGCCACCACCAAATTGTAAACAACGAATGTAAACAAACGGCTAATGTCAACATCGTTCAAATTTTTTCCTTAATGCGATTCTAACGGGCTACTCTCCTGCCCGCGTGATCTTGTCTTTTTGGTTCATGGTACATTAGCATCCTTTTTGTTTGCTTTTGATTGCTCGAACGTGTTTACTTTTTTTTTTGACATCCTAGGTTTCTACAGCAACAACAAAATACATGGCAGGGTTGTGTTCACTGTACTGCTACTATCTGTTTAATGTGCCTTGCTTTGGTGTAGAAATGAACTGGATACGCTTTTTGTCCTTATCCTTTACATTTCTGCAGTGCCAATTCGAAACTTTTTACTGGTGGAAATTTTTGACAGTTGCTCTGCCTCATAGTTGTCAAAAATTTAAAATTCGGAGTACTTTTCTATCAATTGGCACAGGCACTTTGCACAAAAGAGACTATAAATACATTTCATTTAAATCCTTCATAAAATCAGTCATTTATGTATACCATTCAAATGAATTGCTTAAAAGTATTTCTACTTATTTTTTAACTGTTTTTTTTTTGGATTCAGCTTCTTTCTAGCGGGATTTATTAAAAATCTGTTTTTTTTGAAAATAGTTGGCAGCGCTGTTTGCTACTGCCTATACTGTGATCACAGCCAACTTCGCATTTTTTCTTTGCAACAAAAAGGTGCGCTTTCGGAAATAAACGCGTGTTTTCTGGGTGCATTTTTGGAAGAAATCTGTTTTAAACGTTTGAAAACGCGCATTTGTGTAAATATTTTCATTTTTGCAAAGTTTAGTCAACATCGCTAAGCTAGAAAATGTCGAAAAGACGTATAGAAGTGGGCGAAACGTATAACACAAAGTCGAAGAAGTAAGTGCCTCCATCTTTTTTTACAGCAGAAATTTATTTCGCTTTTCATAATTACCGCAAAAAATGTACATTGTTTGTTAAAAGTGCCCATTTTCAAAATTTCAGAGATTTCGATACGACTACGTCCGCATTTAGCAATCCTACACCAGTGGCTCATGTTGCTGGTGTAGCTAGCGCCTCGCGGCAGCCCGGCACTATAAATCCTTACAACCTGAAACCATTTACACAGCGCTATTTCAACCTATATAAAAAGCGAATTACACTTCCTGTTTTCGAATATCAAGCAGATTTTATGCGTCTACTGAATGAACACCAAAGTATAGTTTTGGTGGGTGAAACTGGTTCTGGAAAGACCACACAAATTCCACAATGGTGCGTTGAATTTGCCATGTCAAAAGGAAAGAAGGGCACTGCTTGTACACAACCACGTCGTGTGGCCGCTATGTCTGTTGCGCAACGTGTTTCTGAGGAAATGGATGTCACCCTTGGTGAGGAGGTGGGTTATTCCATCCGTTTTGAAGATTGCTCCTCACCGAAAACAGTACTGAAGTACATGACAGACGGTATGTTGTTGCG